TCAGACCGGAAGACTGTGCGGTTGCCGGTGTGGTCCACTGGATCACCTGTCAAAACTGTATAGGCGAATACACATCAGGGCATCTTTATGGACCGAAGATTCCTTGACATGACAGGGCCGTGTCACTGTATCGACCGCAATAGATTGCCAAGACCCAATGCTCATAAAAGAAGAGAAAGGAAACCCTGGGAAGTTTATCGGATTTCGACCCATGAATCCAAAGATGAGTCGAAAGGGAAGACGAGAGTATTAAAGGAGCTCACCCTCTGCGCAAGGGTAACAGGACACTCAGAAATTTGAGCGCGATTAGTCCGGAGCCTTCCTGGCCGTATATTGGCTGACCGAACTCGCGGTTTAGCGAGGCACGATGCTCGACTTTCTTATTATTAACCTTGTGGACGTATTTCATCTTATAAATATCGAACGCGATCTCATCATAAACTAAGCGTTGGCAAGGACCGTCATGTCGCGTTAATTAACAGGCTACAGGTGAGGGGAGAAAGTGAAATGAAGTCAGGGAAATTGAGATCAAAGCAGTGATGTTTCGGACGATACAAGTACGTGAGCCAGATACCGTCCATTTCCTGGGAGCATCGATATAGAGCAAATTCAGCCCCGTTATTAGTCGGCTAAATTTGCGGACCACTGGTGACCGCTATTCACCCATAATCGAAGTGAAAGTTTTATCCGAAGTGAAATCATGATTGCCGGGTAGTGTCATAAGGCCCTCTCGCGGAATGCAAAAACGATTTTTTTTCACGCAGAAGTTCCGTATCTGCTATCAGCGTAACATACGACCCTATCGCTGTAGCGATCATTTTTTTGCCTTGAGATGGTAGAAAAATATTGTTTTTGTAAGCTAATAGCACATAATGTCATCCGCAGACACCGTAGCATTGATGTTGTTGTAAGATGTTGCCAGAAGGCTCAATGTTTTGTCTTTACGATCGTAGTCAGCGTGCTGCGCTACCATCAGCAGCTTAATCATCATGCGAACCCTATAAAAGGGTAAGGAGACGACGTAGACCGTAGTTGGACCTATAATGCGCCTATTGCGCTGCACATAGTTTTATTTGTTTTACATTATTGTATGTTCATTATTAACGTTATTACCTATTGTTTAATTACCCAAGTTTGAGATAAATCTATCGACACTATTTGGTGTTCGATTCATCCGCGTGGCAAGAATCACCTGCTTATGGTGCATCGGCAGATCTGAACCTGAGCAGCTGGACAGGGAAAGTAGTCGGCACGCTCAAAGTTTATAATTTTTCGTCGGCGCGGCGCTGGAAACTTCCTTTCTAGTGATTTACCGCCAACTTAAGTTTTTGGACTGCTATTCTCAAATACTCTATTCTTTTTGCTTCTTTTCCTTTTTCTTTATTAAGCGTGTTAATTATGGCAGGACATTAGTCATCAGTAATCAAAGCACTGAACTCGATTGAAATCGAAGATACTCTAAGCAATAATTATATGCACCTTATAAATAGTCAGCAGAATCATTAGCAAACTTTAAGTGCGCTAGCGCCGGTTAACTAGAAGAAAATAAGGATAATAATAAATTAGCACGACGTAATTTTTTAGATGATGGATCGCTGTTACATGGAAAACAGACGTCTCCGAGAAACTTGCGCGGCGCTGCAACAAGAAATAGATGATTGCGGAAGCGCCCCGGAAGAAGAAAGACTCAAAATTCGGGATTTGTGCCGCGCTGTACCATCGCTTCCCAAACCGGAGCAAGTCTACGACAAAATAGTTGCGTGCTGTCGAGAGTTTCACGAATGCACCAGAAGAATGTCAAGCTTGGACCAGCGCATTCGAAACTTACGAACATCAACTAGTGTAGCGCCTCATGGCGGCGGCGAGTAAGGGTGACGAAGCCGTGACTCATCTGAATGTTTTCAGGAGGCGTGATGAAGCGGCGGAGGAGGCAAGCGAGGAGTCGACTGGAGAATGGACCGGAAAGCCGGCTCGGTCCTCTACCCAGGGCGAGGCCCTGCTCATTTCAATGGTAGTTCGACGTAGTGATCTCCTAAGACCGTCATAGTCTATTTCTCTTACTTGTGTACATTTATATTATTTTCGTGTTGTACCCTTTTATCGAAATATGCCGTTTCTTGCCTTTTATTGAAGTGCCTTTAGTTTCGTTAACTTACGTTCATTGTGAATTCTGGTATAATCGTTTTGTCGTTGAATCGCAAATAAAAGTAGTACTTTTTACGGTCGAAGTTAGACACAAGTTGAACGCACCTTCCCATGAGCGGCGTTAGCTCACTCTACCGACTGGACCGAGCGTTTCCATGAACTTGAGCTGACTGAAGTGCTGTGCGACAGAATGCGCCTCGAATTTCTCTTGGTTCGATGCCAAATGCGCACACTTTTCAGTGTGCCGCCTCTCCTCGTTGCTACAGGAGAAGAACCGCAAGCAATCTGGAAAACCTGGATGCCAAAAGAACAACTCAGTGATGAGGATGACCCTCTCCTCATAGAGCCAGACATCTTAGAAGCAGCCATCGCAGACCAGCTTCAAATCCTTGATGGGCACCGATTTACGCGTGAACTGCGCATTTCACTCCGAGAAGAACACAGAAAAAGCGTGAGAACTTTTCAATATATCGTCACTGAGAGCCTCCAGCGTCTTCAGTCTTCGATAGAAGCACTCATGCTGCAAGAAAAGAACAATATAGAGATGGCTCAACCTCCACCCATCCCTGAGCAGGAAGCACAAGTTGAGGAGGAGAGCGTTCCCAGGGAAGCGCAAGAACAAGAACTCATACGCGAAAATGCTAAGTTCATGGAAGAGATCCATGAGAAGAGAAGAGCAAGAGGGCGAGGGACCACCAGAACCTGAAGCCAGGGAAATGCGAGGCGAAATGAAATTGAAGAAGAAATACGATTGCGCCAGGCAGAAATAGAATTCCAGCAGGCCATAGAGAGCTTGGAAGCGCAGCAAACATGCCCTCCGACGAGACTCGACCGCGGAGAAGTTCAGCTCGAGGAAGAACGCCACATGCGCTGCGCATTTTGCGAAGCGATGGGAGCGCATTATACTGACTCGTGTCATGTCGTAAGATCAGTTCAGCAAAGAAGAGACCTCGTGGCTGAGAGAAGGCTATGCATCCGTTGCCTGAAATACTGTAGTGGTGACCAGTTTTGCAAAAACGCTCTACAAAATGTTACCATTGCCGTGAGACTGGCCAGAACTCTGTTCTCTGTGCTCTTCGAGAGACGACCGTACAACGGTTCAGCGACTCTCCACGGCAAGATTGGGGTTACAGCGCCGCGAGAGAAGGTTACAAGAGGTGGAAAGAGAGCTACAGGAACTTCTTAATTAAGGTTTGCTTGCGGGAGCATCGCTATAGCGATCATTATTTTGTCTGGGGATGATAGAAAGTATTGTTTTTGTAAGCTAATAGCACATAATGCCATCCGCAGACACCGTAGCATTGATGTTGTTGTAAGATGTTGCCAGAAGGCTCAATGTTTTGTCTTTACGATCGTAGTCAGCGTGCTGCGTTACCATCAGCAGCTTAATCATCATGCGAACTCTATAAAAGGGTAAGGAGACGACGTAGACCGTAGTTGGACCTATGATGCGCCTGTTGCGCTGAGCGTAGTTTTATTTATTTTTACATTATTGTATGTTGTTATTACGTTATTACCTATTGTTTAATTACCCAAGTTTGAGATAAAATTATCGACACTATTCGGTGTTCGATCACTCATCCGCGTGGCGAGAACCACCCGTTTATAACACAGTACGTAACACAAGTTTCGTAAGCGTAACGATTCAATCCGTCCCGGGTCCAAAAGGAACTTCATGAGATTCTTCTATTCAGAGAATTGTTCCACGGTATCAGGATGCAGATTCTAGTCAACGTCCTAGAGACGATTACACAGTGCGTACCTCATAGCAAAAGTATAGGTCGACTTGGTGGGTTCCCGTGTGTAACTACGGTGAGGAAATCACCAACGATTTTATCGAAAGAGATGGGGGGATGGGGAAAAGGGAGACGAGAGGCTTTTGATAGAATGTAGTGTAGACTCAAAGGAGTACAATAAAGAAATAAGCAGGTTTCTAACAACTTGCTCCACTCCCACGAATCCATCCTGCAGTCTCAAAGTGCAACGTGACGGTGCGGTTGTACGATTCTTGGTCAATGCGGAAGGTACCACATTGAAGCCCAGCAAACTACGCGTGGTTATCACGTATATTGCAAAGAATGTCCCCCAACGCCGTCGCAATAATATTCAAATAGTTATGGGCCTGTCCCTCTCCTTGACCTGCGCAAACCACGGACAGGGGAGAGTCGGTTCCGACCGCTCGGGAGTGGCAAGAAACTTAGAGCCAACGGAAAATTAACATGGCCAGACACGAACGCTTTTCCAAAGCTCACATCTCTCATGATGCACGTGAATGGGCTGACCGAGGAGAGATAACTGAGAAGAAGCATTACTCGATAAAAGAAGCGGCAACAGTGGCGTAAGCAGTTCATTCGTAGACGCGCACCTCGCGTTGAACGTAGATTTGTTCAGAAATGTGACCACCGAAACCAGACGTTTGGAATTGGAAAGATGCGACCTATTGTGGCGTTTACAATCCTCCTATGCGCCAACACAAGCCACGACAAAGATGAGCTCAAAGCATTTTAGTATGAATTGGAGAAGTTCCAGGAGGCATATTTTGTTCAAGATCAGCGTCGGCAACTTCAACTGCAGAATTCCAGAGCAGCTGGAGAACTACACATCGGAACTCACGGAATGGGTTGAAATGAGCAAGGCAAAAGACCGCTAGAGAATCGTGAATACCCACACAATCCACGGTAACACGCTAGAAACCCTACTTACTAGGAAACCCGCTCTCTTCGGTAGACATGGGAGTGCTAGCGGACACTTCAATAACGGCAGAGGCCAACCATCTTCAGCTGACGGTTGTGCCTGACCGACGTCGCCGAAGTTCTGAAGGCTGAAGGATCCCACCGTCTCCTACATGCATGATTCCTCTCCTCAATGCGAGACTTGTTGAACATCTCCCCGATTGCGCCAAGAAGTCAGAGAGTTTTGAGAAGAAGCGTTCATCTCTGGAATTTCTTCGGCTTCCCCAATGTGAAGCCGCACGAAGCGCAGGCAACTGCTAGCTAAGGTCTGAGCTTGCGAAGCTCAAGCAGAGAAGAGCAGCAGCAAAAGTTAGAGCAGCGTGCGGGAAGAGCGCTCACAACGCCTGACGAGGCTTCGTCCTAGAATTCGACGCATTACATAGTCGTGAAAATTCGTGCGACACCCGTTTCCGACAGTGTCAGTCCCCCGAAAATCTGAAGAGTGTTTTAGTCCACCAGTTCTGATCAAAACCCTGGTTCGACTGTTAAGCGCTATCGTCGAAATGATAGGTGCCCACCTTGAGGGAATCCAACAGTGTCTACTCTGTCTATTGTCTGTAATCTACACGCTATTCACGCGAGCCTGTGCTGCTGTGCGAGAAGGACTGTGCTGCTGTGCGAGAATTCTGCTAGGCGGGTATTGCCTAATCTGCCTGTTGTCACACTATTCATGCGATCGACAGAAGGCCAAGTGAAGGACAACCATGAGAGCGAGCGCGGTTCCAAAGGGTATTCGCCTTGATAACATCCACTCAGGAAGGAAGCTCACCTCAAGCTCTAGTTCTCCATTACGAAGTCCGACACGCCATCTTGTCGGTGAAGAATCGTACGGCACCCGGTCCCGACAGGATCAGACCCGAACATCTGAAGAATCTTCCGCCAGTTCTCGTCAAAACTCTGGCTCGACTCTTCACGTGCTACTTGGGCAATGTAAGGAACCTACTTCTTGGAAAAACAGGAGGACTGTGTTGCTGCAATGAGGCCTGCACATCATTGGCAATCATCGCTCAATTCGCCTGCTGTCTGTAGTCTACAAACTCTTCACACGAGTCATCCTGAACAGGATTGGCAGAACACTAGACGAAGGACAGCCATGCGAGCGAGCAGGATTCGGGGAGGATTCATTATCATTAACACGAGAGTACAAGATGCTGTATTGTCTCCCGTTCACTGACTTAGGGAAAGCCTTCGACTCCGATGAGACAAGTGCACTTATCGAAGCTCTGGGCAACGGGAGCATTCCTACGCAGTACAAAACAACTCTTCGTGAGCACTACGGCAATTGAACAATCAGAATTTCACCTTTCTGCAAAAATTTCATAATCGACGTGGGAGGGGTCCTTGACAGTTCGACACTATTTCGTTGAGACCCTGCTCTTCTGCGCGTCCTGCGTCTGCTGCTGGAAAGCGATGGAGCGAAGGTCGACGGCTGGCACTTACACCACCTACGCTTTGAAGACTACAACTTTCTGATAACACCAAGCATCGAGTAAACAGTGGGAACACACTGACTGCCATTGACTGTGTCTGAAAATTGACCTGCCTATGACGAGAACGACCTTTATGAAAACGAACTGATTTCCGCTAATTCTCCCTCAGCGATAAGAACATTTCTGAATGCACAACTGTGTGCTACTTCAATTTGCTTCGAGAATTAACATCTCGCATAGTTTTTTGCTCTGACTACAACGCGAATATGTTCAAACACTCTATCCACGAATCGGACACGTTTCTCCGACGTCAAACACCTCACAGATCCAATAATAGATTTGATGAAGAAGCAACCGTACATCTTATCAGCCAGATGGCTGCGAGTACAGGATAGCTGAGGATTTTTTTCCTTTCACAGCTATTATATTCGATCGTTTTATCCGCTGAATACTGTTTTCGAAGTTTCCATAAATATGAAACATGGTGAGTAAACGTACTGAGTTGTCCAAGAAAAGTCCATGCTTTAGTCTTTGTCATAGAAGCTATGCTGTTGTACTGTTTAGTTGGAAGAAAAACAAAAATCAAAATAGACAGCAGAGAAATCGCGAAATAAGATCCATACAGAATATGGATCTGACTTTCTGAAAAATTGTAATTACTTCAAACAAGGAAGTGAAATCTTTATCTCTCAAATTTGAAAACATGTGAGGCCTACCTGAAAAATGCAAAAAGCTGACTCCTCCGTCATCTTGTGGGACTCCGCCTCCGACGATAAGGAAAACCACTAGTATCACGACGCATCCGAAGAAAAAACTGTAATTGAACGCATGCATCACCCACATATAGTGTCAACATTAATTATAAATAGAAGGAAGCTGAACTACATCATCGTCAACTAAGCGGGCGCACAGGGGACGAATGTCTTCGTGTTCATTATTTTCATGAATGATCAAACAAAAAATGAAGGAAGCGAGAAAGAACACAACAAGATTTTCACCAAATACGCCAGCGATGGCCAGATACACCAGCAAAAAAAAGCCTGAAGCAAACCGAAATTAAGCGCTTCCAAAGTTTCACAGGACTTTTTCGAATTGGACATGAAAACTTCGTTCACTCAGATCAAGCACCTATGAAATTTGTTTCGAAAATTAGGTTGGTTAATTGGAATAAAGAAAAAAAGGTTGATGGGCTAAATAGGAATGCAAAAGAAGATGTTTCGTTCTGCCTCCCTCTGCCTTTGTCAGGACAGACTGTTGAAGAGGTGCGCAGTGCTCGCCGCTATTACGTTTGTACTGGATTTCTAAAGCTCTGGGGAAAACATTCGACTACGGAGCCATGACATGATAAAAAAAGTAAATTGAAACACCCAACCCAGTGGAGAAGAACGTCAAGAAGAGCATGATTCCTTGTGCTTAGAGGACCTGGGGCATTTCCCATGACTGGCGACCATGTGGCTCCGTACACCGAAGAACATCCCAGCATCGCGGTGGTCGACAAAACGGCGCGGAACTCCATTGCATCGAGAAAGCTTAAATAGTAGGGTTTTCACTGTTGCTAAAACACTTTTCGGGGTGTTTCACGCATCGTCTTTCCTCTTGGGAAAAGACGTGTGTTCATTCTATCATGGGTCTGCCGCTTAATAAGACAGTGGACGGAGAGCTAGGTCAACCAGGAAAGAAACGTACCCGAGTATCAACGTTCAGACCCTACACTCGGTAAAAGGCGCCCTTTGCGACTGCGATTTATTATGTTAATACATTACATTCGTAGCTTCTCCAACTAATAAAGTTTAATAAAGAAAACAAGCAATTTATGGGGATTTGAAATCGGATTTCAAATCTCTCTCTCATACTTTTTTCTGCTACTGTATCTGGCTTCATGTTCATCAAGCTATTCCGGAAGAAACAGGAAATCACAACAATATTTTAAGAGAAAAAGCTGTCGGCTCAGTGCGTTAAGCAGAACGGTCTTCAATCTTACAAGAAACCTATAGTAGTAATGGTGATGGAATTAATCGGAATAATAGAACCTTTTTATATGCCTTTCATAAAAGAAAAAACTCATAGTTTACCACTGATGTCCGATGGCTATTTCTATGGCAGTGTTCGATTCAATTGTACTCCACATAGAGTGCTCCGAAAGGTAGGCCCCTTCGCAATTATTATACACTGCAAAACAAAATACCTGGGAAAAAACTACAGCATTTTTCAAAAGATATATCGCCAAGTGTGTACCATTTGAATGACTTGTTTTTTGTCAGTGACCATTTGATCTGACTTGTTTTACCACAACTTAATATGATGTGGCTGAAAACAATTGGTGCTCGCGAAAACGCTTTTCTACGAGTACATGCTTCACGATTACCGTATAAAAACTGCAGCAGTAGATTGCAGCAGTAATTTTATGAAAGCACTCCAAGCAATGCAGCGTCATGGAAAATTCGTAACGACTTCCCTTTTTGACTACTTCTCTTTCTCTCAAATAGTTCTTCTGATCATGTTATCGTAGTATTGAACCATTGTAAAGAGTGACCAAACAAATGCACGAGCCAATCTAATTTCACAAGAAGGAAGCGTGAGAAAATAGCATATAGGCCACATTATTGCGAAATAGATTATTGTGGTGCTTTGTCTCGTTTCTAGGCGACTCCCCTCCGTTACGAGATTCTTGGATTCTGTAGTTTTGGATTGCAATATATAAGCCATTTTCTTTACTCCAGCTAATCTGATTTAGTCGTAGACAGCACAGTACATTCTGTGGAAGTGTCTTGTGTTATTTTTATTTTCTTCGATTTTTGCTGTGGTTATAGGAAAATGAACAGAGGTGTTACGCATACTCACCCTCTTTTTCTTTTCCTTCCTCCCCTCAATATGTTCAAGTTCATCAACTGCGCGCATTTCACCCTCCACGCGGCGAACCTGCATAATCATCTTATTCATTTCGTCGTCATTCTCGATTTAGTACTAGGAGACTGTGTTTTGTTCGAAACGGAAATTCGCTTGGGCAAGCAAAAGTGCAGTTCTACTGTGCACACTAAGATCGCGCGCCTGCTTCACAGCCGATACATGCTCGCACATCGGCCAGTAATTAAGTATGATATATCTTTAAAATTACGAAAGAAGCTACAGAAGAGAGGCATTTACTGGAGTTGCTATGTCATTTCGAATGCATGAAAAAGTGCAGCAGAAAAAAGCGCTAATAATTTCCCGTCACATTGAGGACTATGTTGCATATTTTTACATGCTATTGTGTTAGCCCCATAGCACTTTTAAGCTTGCATTTGATACAGTAAGCGAGAACACCATCAAGTAGTCTCTTCTTTGCTCCCTGAGAAGTTCAAAGCGATTATGGCATTTACATTCCACAGTATGTTTTGTGAAAACTACACTGTGAAGCAACAACTAGACTGTGAAACACGCCTGCAATCACAACTACACACCGCGGTTTTGTGAAAATGATATTGTTGGAGAAAGAAGAAGTGCCATTGCTCGAAAATTAACGATTCTGGTCGACAAGGAGCCTTCAACAATTTATCGATTGGTAGCACATGGTCACTAACAAAAATGAAGACTATATATGCTATACATGTGCATGCAAAAATTCGCACTTCCGCCTCTTTTCAAAAGAAATATTGAATGAAATCACACATACTCCAGTAGCCCAAGACAACAATAGGGAATTGTTCTCCGCCTCTGATGGTTTGAGCGCATTCTCTCATCAGTTTTCATATCAGGCGATTTCAAAAGATGAAACCATTAACGAAAAGTATTCACTCACGTGCATACCCGAAACCGACAAATACTTGTGAGAGGTAGAAATACCACCAGACGACTTTTGCAAATCCTACATAGTAAAGAGCGAACATCAAGCTGCTCAGCACCAGCGACCACTTGAAGAAGTTTAAAATATCGAAATCCGAACTTCATTACATGTGCAAACTGAATGGCCTAGACTCACCTTAGAACTCAGCCAGTGGACTACGGATGGTGTCACAATACTCGAAATCGCTAATGCTCCGAATTGAATAGCTCCTCTGGAACCGTCGAATATATGCTCAAATTGAAGTTTGCAATTTAAATAGCCTGGTACTAGAAATTCGGGTCACGACCGATGGGTTTGCGAGTTGAACCGGGCATTCGAGAGAAGTTCAAGTTTGTAAGCATTTGATGGTGTATTTGCTGTAACTGCCAAGAGCCAAGGGAGTAAATGTGCTAGAACAGGGCTGAGCAGTCTCTTTGCATTGCAATTTTATGTTTTTCTTTTCGTCGTTTGCCTCTACTTCCCTGATCAAAGGACAGCGTCTGCGAAGCTGACGGTCAGGGTTGTGAATAATTCACCGAGGGAGAAGGGACTCTCCGGAAGGGGGAGCTTAGTGTTTACCCTTCTTACGCCTAGAATTTAGTGATCAGGTAACTGCTCTAGTATAATGCCATCCCTATCCGATAGTTATTGACAAAATAAAAGAGTGAATCCATATGATTCTCACCCGTAATATCCTGCGTACTGACTGATAGATTTAGGGTTGTCCTGATATATCGAGTTCAGAATGGACTCCGAAATGAACGACGTAGAAAGGTAACCAGCAAACATGAACATTGAGCCGAAGCCGAACTGAATGCAGGAGAGGACTTCGTGAGTACGCGGCCGAAGCGGAGACATTACTGAAAACATTTTTACAAAGAGTATGCATGAGTTCCAGTAACAACCACGGCTTGCGATGAAAGCTAGGCAATTCCAGGAGGGGTGGCTTCTGAACGAATACACACTGTTAAAGGGTTGAAAAACAAAAATCATTTCACTTTATGATAAAGTTGTCTCACAACTCCATGTCACTCGCCTTTTAGCAGTTAGAGACATGGACTTGTTAGTACGTGGTACGTTGTATAATAAACGAGCGCTTGATACCCCGCCATTCAATACCCTGCCGGTAAGAATTCCGAGCTCTTTCCTGATGCTTTTTTCACTGTGCAAACTAGGTTATAGACAGTTTAGCTTCTCATTAATGTACCAATGTTTCAACCTCAGCCTGAAAGCCATGGATGGTCCTGGCGTGACTCGAAATTCAACAGTTACTCTCTAAGCTACACTACAGCGCTTCATTGAGGACATTCGAGAGCAACAGTTGAAAATTCCGCATAAATGTACTGTATTCATCCATTCCTTGACCGCAAGAGTGGAAAGAAACCCAATCCTGTAGCCGCTGTCCATAATATGTACGAGACTTACTGTGTTTTCATTATGCAGCAACAACGCTGACGCAAGCCACAAACCCGAGTTGGTTTTTTTCCTACCTTAAGTTTCATGTGGAATGCAAAGCGTTTTGTCAGTAGCTTTTGTCAGCCAGTAAGTTTTCCTAAAAGGTAGTCTGCATGCTTTGCAACGGTTGAACTACCACAAATTTAGAGCTCATGAAATTGATGGGCCTAATCGACAAAACAAGAACCATCGATACCACCACCTTTGCGTCTCATAGAGGTACTTTCCATAAATCCGGTGTTGCTAGAACGTGAGGTAGCGTAGGGTCAAGAAATGAAGCCCTCTGGTACAGCTCCAACCCGTTTTAAACAATCTGATGACTTGGAACTTCTTACTATCAACGACTGTCACAAGCTGCAAGATGCTCTAGACTGTGTAGAGCGCTGGTCCAAGCAGTGGGACTTAGACATTTCTATTCAAAAAACTGCGATTATGGGCATAGGTAGAATCATCCAGATTTTCCATTTACTATAGGCGGAAAACGACTGGTTCGAGTTAATCAAATACCTGATCTTGGTGTTGTTTACAGTGGTACCCTACCAGATCGCGTATGATGGATTTTAGTAGCTTCATACGCGATCTGGCCAAGAGCAAGTTCGAGAGCTAACTTCATCCTGAGGGCCTTCAAAACGCGTGACCCTGTTTGCTTTTCCGCTTATTCAATCTTTATGTCAGGCCAATCCTAGAGTATTGTTCGCCTATCTGGTCCCCGTACAAACAAACACTAATTGATGTGATTGAACGAGTACAAAAAAGTTTCACTCATCGCTGCTATATGCGCGAAGGTTTAACATCCTTACCTCATAGCCAGCGAATTCGAAAATTTGCTGTTGAATCTTTGGATTTTCGACGTGAGCTAATAGATTCTGAGTTTATAAGCTTATCACAAACGAGATCGATCTCAGCAAACACATTCGAGATGCAGTCATCTATTGGGTTATCCAGAGGGCATTCCTATCGCTTGCGACCTGGCCGGCCGGAGACTCGCGCCTACAAAGGTTCATTCCCTGTCAGAGTAGCGCCCTCTGGAAGTAGCCTCCATTGTGAACTTTTCAAATGGAGACGTTCTTGCACATTTCAGGTTCATCTGGCTAGCTATATCAAGCACCAACATTTTGGGGAATAAGTTAATCTCAACTCTATACTCTTTTGTATTTCTCAGCAGCACTTTGACACAAGTCAAGCCTATGTCCTTCAGACTATCTTCCTCTTATCCACTTTGAATTTTTGAAGTTTTGTTTCTGTCTATTAAATTATTTTCCCCTCTCCTCCTCTGTTCGAGCCGCAATTTCTTTTTTCTAGTTATTTTGCCTCTGAATTCAGCCATATTGTCGTGAACTTTTCTGTTTTTTTCTTCACTTCTTCTTATCTCCAGTACGCGACCGCCTATTACTGAGTTTATATCCTCCACCTCCCTCCCCCCTCACTTTCCCTATTTTGCTTGGGTATATGGAGAGGTTTGGCGGAACCCACTAAGTTGGTATCCGGGGCCATCCACGCAGTGGCTTGCAATGTTGGCGGCGCATTGCCCTTTCCTCTCCAATTTGTCTGGCCCTCCCCTCTCCACACCACCTCCCTGCCCAACTTTTCTGTACCTTGTTATCTATTTTCTTTTTTTGCATATCTATTTTTTTGAATTTTCTGTCTCCACTCTTTCCGTTTTCTGTCTCCACTCTTTCCGTATTAACGATTGCATTATTAGTTGTAATAGTAAGCAAATTAAATCAAATTGAATCTAATGGCGGGTATTCTGCTTCCGCAAACATGCATTGCACCGGACAACACTTTGAGCTCGATGAGAAACTACGCGCAGGCCATGCAACACCCTTTTGAAACTCTTCCATCAAGTGGAGAAAACATCAGCGTGCTGGCGTTTTGGAAACATTGTTCGTTATAATTCAGTAAGGTAGGTCCTTGCCACCAAGGCCATTCAGTGGCGCTCCATCAAAATTAGTAGCGCTTATGGTGCAATGCATGCCTTTTTTGACATGGAGTCTCGGAATCCTCCATACCAATTTTAGGTTGTCCTAATGATTTTCTTGGCGAAACATTTTTCACATCAGATTCTCTTTTAGGGCCCGGCCCTAATTAAATGCATAAAGGGAAAGTCGGAGTGTCCGGTTCTGTCATCTTGACTCTCTTAAGCCATAATGAGAGAACAAACGCAACATCTCATGGTACACGATGCATTCTTCCAAGCGATGTACACCGCACGGGCGAAACTATCATCTGTCGGCACAAAAACTTCAATCAAAGAAGCGCCATTACTTATCGGCCCACCCAATGTCTCACTAGTGAATTTTTCTTTGAAAAAAACACCGTGAGGGTCACTCTTCTTGAGAGACCAGACTCTGAGTTCCTCCTCAGAAGGCCCACTACTTTCATGGTTGCTTCAAGTTTTGGCAACAATGGTCCTTCCGCGTTCAAAGTTTTTCCTTCTTTTCTTTTCGAGCTGCGCCTGCTTCATATACGTTGGGTGAGCGCCTCTGACACAATAATATGCTGAATGAAGTACCATTTCTGAGCACAAGTGTTGTTTACGACCTCCCATACACATATTTTTGAGGAGCGTCAGGTAGCTATCATGCCCTCTACGATCTTCTTTAGAGGACATTGTGTTCGCATTGTGTGAATCCAGTTTCCCTATGTTTCTCGCAAAGGTTCTTTGCTGTTGTTCTATAAGAAACACATCCTCAATACAACGTTAGCATAACACAGTTCCACTCGATAATGATGACCCCTCGGTGTGTTCCAGAAAAAGATCACTGGAAATGCCGCTGCTACGATTTGTCATGGCTAGAGCTTATGTATTGAAGCAAAAATTGTTCCAAAATAATCTCAGAAGCTGGATTCCACATAGATCATTTTACGGCACTCTCACGGCGCCTTTTAGTAAGGACAGAATGGCCCATGAGGTAAATCTCACCGTGGAAAACTCCAGCTTAGTGTCCAACTCCTTCCCACTCTCCCCATACTCACGGCCTCTTCACGTTATCCGAACTTCGGAAAACACGATGTCGCTAACAATCTCGTCGGTATTGTATATTTGTGAAGACATGCGAACATCGCACCGTCTCTCTGACTCATGTAGAGCATATGAAGAGAAATACGTAAGAGAACAGGAAGGTACCCCGCCCCTTGCAAGACTCGCCTGAACGACCATAGAAGAATGCCGATCCCTTCTCAATTGTGGAATTTTTTCCGGCATCAGACCACAAACGCGAACGAGAAAGCTCCATTCTTTGTTGTGACCATCTTGCGATAAAGTTGTTATTTTATTTATTTATTTATTTTTTATTTATTTATTTATCGTGCACGCGTAGGTGAGCTACAGTGTTAGTGAACTGGATGAGTTACAATATGAAACAGTCAAAATGTATTTCGGAGGAAAATGAAAAACAAAAAAAAATTCAAACAGATGCAGCAACACAAATCCACACGAGTAAGAGCCACTCTAGACTTGAACCACTTAGAATCCCACATGCTTAACAAATTCATTAGATCCACCTATTTCATCTTACTTCTAAACTTTAGAGGAGAACCATGGACGAAAAAAGGATTGTGTGAGAGTTTCTCTGAAAGTGTCCAGCATTTGATGGTGAAGCTTGGAGATCGACATTAATAATAAATATTGTATTCTAATCTACTTTATATAATTCGCTATGTCTCTCTGTCTGTCCGGAAATTCATTGCTATCAAAAACGCTCGTTATCGGCATTCCATACACGGTAATAGTGCTTAAAATAGCAGGGACGATGTTACTGGTCAAGGAGCTCTGACCATGAGTACAGATAGAAGAAAAGCCAAACATTAATTTACTCAAATATGTGAAGCACTTGAATGAGTATTCAAATATGTGAAGGGGGTATGCACGGCGGAGCCGCGCCCGCCCGTCAAGGCCGAGCCGCATGACAGAAGGAGGCACGCCGACGTCAGCCGACGAGCCGACTGGTATAAATATAAATAATAATAATAGCGCAATAAAACACCGAATGATTGAGAATGAAGCTGCTCAAGACAATTCACGCTGAATTCTGCCAAACATGAAACCCCAAAATCGGAAGAAATGATCAATAGAAGTGACATAGAGGAAGCGCTTATACTCTGTCACCTTATTCTTAAAAAAAGAAACCAACCCAAACGTTTTCAATCCACTGAAAAAGGGAGATTCAAGGGCAGAAGGTAGGAGTATGAGGGCAGAAGAAACACACCCTCACCAAGCTAAGGCTTTGAACAAGCGCTGTGACAAGTTAAAGAGGTATTTCGTGAAATAAGTGTATATTGTTGTTGTAAAACAATGGCCATCTAGAGACCATGAGAGACGTGAAGTGAAACTTAGCAATCTCTATAGAGCGTTTGCATCAATATCTGAAAAAAGCGAAGTGAACGTTTTTTTGCAGTGACCACATGTTTTT